GTGTGTGAGACAGAGCTGTAAGTGTGTATCTGTGTGAGAGAAAAAAGCAATAGCACAAAGTACTTAGTGAGTAAACACTAGAACACCAAAATAAGGTGGATGAGTAAGTAGAAATAAAATGGTGAAATAAGAAAGGAGCTATAGAAATAGAAAAATACCCTCCACAGTTCATTCAGTCAGCGTAGCTTCCTCTGGTCTAAGTTGTGTCTCTGAGCGAGAGAGGCACATGTTGCCTGCCAATAAATAAACTGTTGTCAATTCATATTTCCCTTAATTAATTCATTTTAATACTTAATATACAAAATAATGACAAAGGTTAATGGTGTGTGCAAATTCCTTTGCTGGCCTTCATTTGTTTTCTGGCTGAAAGGTGGTATAAAATGTGTATGGTAGTAATGACGTTTATTGTGCTTTTTTGTAGTACTTAAATGTTGAAGTGGCCTTCCTATGAGATGGGAATAGTAGTTGCCCTAAGTCAGTTTGAGTTTAAGACCCCTGGTTTAGACAGATGGATTTTAGAGAAGATATTTCTGCCAATTAAGTTTATTTATATAGCACATACAGCAGGCATAGACTTTATGTGCTGGAGGGATAAAATGATACAAAGCGCAATTTAAGTACTTACTCAGAATATTTATGATCAACACAAAGTCATGTAACGTTCTCACTACAGCATGCCAAGATGTGCAGGTGTTGAGAGATAACATCTAACGCACATGGCCTTGGGTGAATAATGGGCTTTTGTCTCTGATGATGGGTTTGGACAAGTTCTCTTAAAGTGCCTTTTAATGTAATTTAGTCAGCCATGTCTTGTGGAATGTATACAGTGTTGATATTTGGCAACCTTATCACTTCCTAACTAGAAGCACCAAGCTCAGCACATTTAGAAGTAGGGAGTGATGACAATACCTTCGCTCCTGGGGTAACATAGTGTTTCCATCCAGCTGTTTTTATGTGCCTGTTGAGTTTAGAAAATCAATATATTGCTAAATGTTTTTACAAAAGTTGGTGTGTCAATAAAAACTAAATGTGACCTACCTAGTAAATAATTCATGTACAAGTATATGAGTTTAACTTACCTGGCAGAAGATTAAAACATCAATAAGTAGAATACAATGTTCCTAAATTAATACATGAAATAGTAAAGTTTGACTGGAGCTTTTTTAATTAAACCATCTTGTGTGTTCAGTGCAACAGTTTAGTTTCCTTTATCTCGATGATCTATTAGAGTGCTGTAGGGATGATGTATTAACGTAGTCCAACCCCAAGTTAGCATCACCCTGGTTCTTTCGACAAACAGCCAATGGGATTTTTCCAATGGATTTTGGATTGTTGCAGAAAATGAGCTCTGTGGCAAACAAAAAACGTTATATTTTGTTAAGCAAGGTAACTTACACAAATGAACACCGATTGGCAGAAGTTGAATGTTAGGCTTTAAACAAACTACACTACTAAACTTCTAACTTCAAATCTATGAGTTGTAAAGTGTGAGTTAGAATAGTTTGCAAAAGCGTGAGTATAAACACAAAGGCGGACTAGTGAGTAGATGAGTCTGTTTTAATGCCACCAACAACCTCTGTAGTTTCATTTAACCACTTGTTAGCAACCGACACGTAAAAGCTTTAAAAAAGGTGGAGTATTTACTGATGTATTTTATATCGTAGAACAAAACCAAAAAAATCTCTTAAAGCTGCAGTAGGTCACTTTTATAAAAATAACCTTTTGTCATATTTTCTGAAACTTTCACTATATCCTGACAGAAGTACGTGAGACAGATACTCTGAAACATTCAGGTTCCTCTGGCTCTATAGACACAGTAAGCAAACCCCCAACATTTGGGTGAACCAAAACTTAAGGTTTCTTGGCTTCCAAGATGCACCTTGACTTACACAACTTCCCCCAATTCTCCTCAATTTTCTTTGACAGTAAAAAGAGGGTACAGCTTTAAAGTGAGTCATATTTGGTACCTTATTTAACTGCTGACTATTAAGCCAAGTATCCGTCTTTAGATTTTAAAGGCCCTGAGACAGATCATCAGAGCACTATTTCCTCCTGCCTGTTCAAAGTCTTGCTGCCATACTTCTGCAGATCATCTAACCATTTAAGCAGGATCAGACTGGGCAGCTTGTGTTAATGGGAAGGGAGGAGTAGCCTAGGAGAAACACATAGAAGGAAGCCAAACTCATGTGAAAACCAAACTCATGTTTCACCGAGACAGTCTTGCAGCAGGCTTGGAGACAGCATGTTGAGCCACTACTGGACTTACCAAAATAAATACTAAAACTGCTGAAAGATGTGATCAGGAGAAATCCATTCAAGCCCCTTCAAAGATATAGATTTCCTGGAAGATTAGAGTACAAAATTGGGAAGTTTGGAGGACTGTTTGGACAGTTCTGGCTGTCTTATCATGTATGCATGTACAAACAAGACACACGGCCTTACAAGCACATTCACACACAAACTGCATTGGTAGCATTACGTGTAATCCAGGAGAAGATGAATAATAAATAAAAAAATTACACTGTATCAGGATTAGGTTATATCTGTGACCAAACCTTGTTCTTTGACATAGCCAAAACATCTTCCCAGTAGCAAGCCCAGTATCCCTAGTAAATGTGCCCATACTCATGATTTACATCAAGTGCAGCCAGGAGGTATTGTGGCCGTTCTGTAGTGAGACAGAGAGTATGATGTGGAGGTTGGTGTCTCCTTAACTGTACCACTATCTTCCCCTAACCTCAACCAAATGTTTTAGTTGCCCTAGCCATAACCGTACCTTAAAGGTCAACACGTTCTCACCTCCAACTCATCAAATACTGACGCTTGGTCACTGGCCCCCCGCTTCAAAATGTGATGTGATGTTGTAGGTATCTATCCCTCTAGCGTCATTTCTGGACGTGCAGGGCTCGGCGTCAATTAATATGCAACATCCAGTTACACTTGGCAAATAAAGCTTGCGTGGTTAATGTTGTGAACAGTTTAGTTAGGTTTAGGCACAAGATTTTGGAAAAGATTGTAAGTTATGTTACATACCTGGTGTACCTTAAGTACATTATGTAAGTAATTTATGTATTTACTGTAATTAGTTGTTTCCTTTTTGTTTCACACAGGAGAGCACTCAAAGAAGCATGTTTTGATAATAATTCAGTAACGCCAAATCCGTACAAGAGCTACATCAGCTACTGCGGGCTGATAACTACAGCAGCTAACGATTTAGCTTTCGTGGTGCGGAGCTGCACTTCCAATTGAAGCCAATTTGAGGAATAGCGAGACATTTGACACAGAGCAACAGAGAGCAGGAGAGAGAACGAGAGAGAGAAGCAATCGCTAACCGCTAAGCTAAAGCTCTTTAGCTAGCAGAACTGAACAGCGTGTAAACAACTGTGGGATTAAGTTGCTAAAATGAACAGGCTTCTTGAGCAGAGCTAGTGTACCTTTAAATGATATTGTAGGCAATTAGCCGATGTAATGCACTCAACTGGAAGTCGTAGAGTAGGTAGAATTTCAGTCTGTAGTTTGGATATTGCTGTTGGCCATATTGGGATTTGGATAATGGACAATTTCCAGTGAATTAATTATTGTATATACAATATACTTCTGAAGCCTGTACATTTCATATATTTTTGTATTAAATGACTCAATCTCAACCATAGATAAAGCCATGTGTTCTGTTTCATTGGTCTGATAACAGAATATTTTAGTTTGGTCAGAATTAGTTGATGTATGGGTCAAGTCTTGGTTATGACTCTGCAAATTAAGAAAAACCTGCATATTTTGGGTTTCATACTAAAACTAGACTGAAATATTCACAGTTTTACTAAAGAAATACTAAAATGATTGCCTCAACTAAAGCTAGACTAAAGTGTTTGTAGGTAAAGACAAGACTAAAATAAAAAGCGTGTTTGTGGACTAAATGTTCACTCCAAATATGAAGCATGTGGTTGACTAAATATTAGGGGTGTGCATCTCTCCCTTCTAAGACGATCTGATATGTATCTAGATACATGGGCCACGATGTGATTCATGCATTTTAATATGGAATAAGTCGGTGTGATTTGATGCAATTTGATACAGTTCTTAACATTTGTTTAATGTAGACATTTATTTTCCATTCTAAATTAAAATAAACCAGTGCTATAAAAGTGACATTGCTTACCTTCAAATACATATATTTTATAAAATACCAGAGAATCCCAAGTAGTTTTTTCCTTATGGGAAAAAACAAAGCCAAATGTCTCATTTCAGAATTACATGTGATTGTGTTTATTGCTTTTCCAACAGACGCAGACAAAAAAGACTTTGTGCCGTGATTACCTTAGAGCTTGTCCAGTTGGAGCTAAGTTGTGGCTAGAAAGTGTTGCATCTTGCATTTTCTTGCTTGTGCTAGCTGTATTAGCATCCGCAGACTCCTTGTCGCCTGCAGAGGTGTCACCATGCCATCTCACCAGCTGAGTATTAAGATTTGTTGTGCTACCGCTGTACTTCATTGCTGTCCGACAGATCTTACAAATTGCTAGACTTTTGTACAACTTTCCTTCCTTTTTATAGAATCCAAATGTCTAAAGTTTAGATTTTCGATTTGATGGTGCACTGTAAATTGTGTTGACATTGTCAGACATGTTTGTTTATGCGTGAGCCATGCTAAGCTAACATTACTCTGGTTGCGATTTACGAGAGTGGAGACGCTGTTAGCAGCAAAGCTTCAGTCAACAAATAACTACAGATAACTTTAGAATCGGACAATCGACCAGTTCATGATACATAGATACATGATACATACGTAGATCGATCCAGGGGTCCGTGTACTGATGTAGTTGTATCTGTAATGTTAGGGTTACAATCTTTACACACCTACTAAATACGCAAAAACATATCCAAAACTCACTTTAAATTCTGATCTACTATATTATATTATATCTATTAAATCTAAAAAATATTTGATAACATGAACCTCCCCCCTATGAAAAATTAGGAAAAACACTGCAAAGGACGCCCAAAACTTCTATAGAGATTGTATTATATTTCCAAAAATATATGTACAGTCTATTACAAAGGTTACAAAGCAAAAAGAATTGTCTATGTAACAAGAAATTGTCTAATTAAATGATCTTACATTTCTGCTGTTGGGGAAAATACTTTTGACCAGTGAATATTCTCAATACTTTCATCACAGAAAAATAAATAATAAATTGACAATTTTATTACTGTACAACAAACTAAAAGGCAAATCAAAACAACGTCAAAGTAAAGATGGAAATCCTATCAGCTGTCTTTGGTCCTAAATGAAAAAAATTATGTACAACTGAAATCTTGTGGGTGACAATAATTCATCTGCAAGATAGAAAAATATAGTGCATTTTCAATGTATTCAGAGCTCTCTACTGAGTAATATGTGTAAAAAACAATATAAATAAAATGTACAAGTTTTACAATTAGAACATATACAAAGATTCCCTCAAATCTCTCCTCTTTCTGACACAATCAACAGTGCTGCGCTCTTTGGAATTATCCACCACCTCGCCGAAGTGGTGAAACTAACTTCCAACTGCTGACCCACAAGATTTGAAAAATAACTTCATACTCTATCTGCTATTCCTGATTCCAACCGACCCTCTACATCCTGCAGGTTTTTTGTCTTTTTTACATTTTTTATTCTTTTTTTTGTTTTTTGCACAACAAAACTTTTTTTTTTTGTCCAGAGTTGAGCAACCTGAAGTTTAAAATGTGAATGAAACAAGCTGAAACAGACAGTAAAGTGACTTTTGTTGCTGAAGGTTACAGGTGATTTGGACGCTGAATCGATTGTATCCTGGCCTTAATCTCAATTTGGCTCAAACTGCTGTTTCCCCAGCACAGGAAAAAAGGGGACAGAGGCATTCTACCCTGGGGTGTGAGAGGCCTCCAGGGGCCCGGTTTTAAAATCAGAGAGGGGGAGTGGGGGTGAGAGAGAGAGTGCTGCCTGTGAACTGGGGAGTTTTGTGCTGACAGAATGACTTTATGCCAGTATTCAATTCAAAGGTCTGGCCAAGGCCCAATTGCTGAGCTCTGCTGTATGGATAAAGGGGGAGGGTGTGTGTGACACAGGGGTTTCCGAGCTGGTCAGGGCTAATTCCTGGTGTCTCCTCACAAAGGTGAAAGTGGATCTATGTCCAGACTAAGCTGGATAACTTAAACAGAGTTTACGGCTAACAATGACATGCATCCACATAAGCTTGTTCAGGTCATTTCCTTTAAGATCTCTGTCTTCTATCGTTTGGCGAACAACGAAACTGCCTGTGGCACAGACAAAGTTAGTTCAACCTCCTGCTTTCTGTGATCATTTATACAGTGTTTTAATACAGTTTGTTTTAGGACTATTGGCTACCCCTTTAGAGGTGACAGCTTAAAATGAGGGTTATGCCCAAATGATAGTGTCTAGGTGGGCTTACATCTTCCTAGTTTTCCTTGCCTTTTTTTATCCGCCTTGGAGACCCTTAGTCTGGTCAGAGGGCCAAAACGGAGAGAAAAAGATGTCTTCTCAAATGTGGCTGGCTTAATGTGGATGCTCAGACAATGGAGGGCATGGAGAAAGCTGCTAATGGTTTAATGGCTCAAGGTTGCTTCCTGGTGGGATTATGCTTTTTCTATGCATTTGAGATGCAAAAAGCTGAAAGAAGTGAGCGTAGCTTTGAAAATATAGATTTATCTCTCAGGTTACAGCTGCAGTAAAAGAAAATGGTTATAATGGTTTCCTCGTGTGAACACCACTCCTCTTTACATGACAGCTGAATAACTGCATGTTCTTATCAAAGAGTACTGCACTAAAACACCCTATACATGGAAACTTTCTTCTTTTCTTGCATTTGAGGTGGAGACAGATGGCACCGAATGGGTTGATTGGCTTTTAGCACATCTTCTGCAGAGCCGTATGGAAGAAAAGAGGAGCAATCTTAAGAGACACTTTAATGCATGTTCCGTCACATCTACGCCTGTGAGGGGATGAGCGGCAGAGACGCATGAATAAACAAGGAAGCTGCAGGGCCGCCTACAGAGCCAGGACAGTGGGATTTAACAGCGCAGTCTGACTCGGGCTCCGTCGTCTGGTCCCGCATTTTCAGACCCAAACCCTGAAGGGGCTTTTTGATTTCTGGGCGGCACATTGGGTGTTGGAAGATGATGTCAGCATGACTAATTGGCACCTTTGTAGTGTTTCGAATGGTGCCTCTTTCATCTCCGCAGCCACTCAATTCAACATTTCCGTGCCATGTTAGATTTACATCAAACGTTTAGCGTATTACAGTGGCAAAACACGACATGATTATTTCATTTGATGACTTGGCACGGCAGTTTTCCAAGCACTTTCCAAAACGCTTTTATGTCAAAGAGTTACGTTCTTTTCCTTTCCAGCGGTGACTGAATCTTTCCAAAGGGGTTGTCTCAGCACAGCACACACATGCGATAAAACCTAGCACCTTAAAAAAAATCTCAGGTGAGGACCATTTCTACCTGGTAATTATTGCTCTGTTTAGTCTATCTCTTCTTCGCTGACTGTGTCACTCGTGGCATTGAACCGTTCCCGTGCACTTGATTACACCAGTTCAAGTTCCAGATAAAAAGACATCACACTACAAGGTAAACAAAAAAGTAGGGAGCTTGTTCGCCCTTTAAATGAACCACATAAAGCATTGCCATTTAAGTGCCTAAAATAGTGGCAATACTTAATCTAACACATTTTAAGGCAGTATTACGTCAACACCTTTTTTTGTATCCACTCTTAAAAATTGTATTTGCAGCTAAAACAATGCACCAAAACAAACACTGTGTGCAACATTTTAGGCAAAATGATGGCAAAACAATTTGCGGTGGCTTCAATTTTAACACAATCTTTCAACAGTGCTGCCACATTCTACTCAATAACTGTTCTGCATTTCCTGTAGTGAACACGAGACAAAGGATATTGCTACTCTGTTATAAAAATCCGGTGATTTGAAGTACAATTCGCCTCCTGCGTCTCCTCTGTGTTACACTCAATCCAAAAATTTGAAAGGTTGAAAACCACGTCAAAAGCCCACTCCTGCGGGCTGAAAACAAGCATGTGAGGATACCATTTTCACTTCAACAGCACATGAAGGAAAACACGAGTCACTGCAAACAGTTCAAACAGTCCAGCATGTGTCAGCACGTAAGTACCTTTGAGTCTGCATCTAAAAAGTTCCCTCTGTGTTTGGATAAAAGAGTTTACCCTGTTGTCAAGTCTAAATAGAAGATAAAAGAACAACCGCTGTTTGGGCCACAACATGTCACTGTGGCAGACGGAAAGAAAATTAACAAATTAGAAAAAGGAACAAGTAAAACCACTGCAAGTAGACAAGTTTTTTTTTTGTTCATTTTAAAGGAAATCCATAGCCATGGTGTGCACTTAAATCATTAAGTTAAAGAAACCTAAGTGTCAAACTCCTTTCCTATGCGCCATTTGATATGTGGTTGAATTCATAAGCGCTTCTAAAAAACATAACAAAAAAGGAAGTCGTTTCTCCAGGTAGGTTCTTTTTTTTGTTGCTGTATTTTGCCCTTTTCCTCTCTTTAATTGTCCATCGAAGAGGCGGACCACAATCCTTCACTGAGGAACACAGGAATGATTTCGCTCCAGACACAGCCGGAAGAGTCAGACATAACAGATGTCCGTTTACTTTGACGATTATCCCGGTTACGTCCCAGGCACTGCTCCAGATAAGTTCTGTTTTGTTTTCACCCTGCTCAACGCGGCCCCTTCGCAGTCCGTCACACCTGTACACCCGTGCCGTGGAGATGCAGCATCTGGGCTCTCATAGTCTGTATGCTGCTCATAATCTTTTTCTGATGGCCCACCAGCGTGATCCCCAAGCTCATCACGTCCCTGGAAGACAGAACAACACATCAATCAATGCACAGGACCACAGTGAGGGGCAAACAAGTGAGATTTACAGCCTCAGCTTTTTCATTATTGTGAGTAAAGGGTACAAAAAAGGCAGCTAAATACACCAGGCTAGTTTATGAATCTCGATAATAAATTTGAACATCAATTTCAAGGATGATGTAGCCAAAAAGTATCATCTGAAGTGGTCTGAAGTTTCATTTTTCTTTTTCTTGGGAAGTATGTTTGGAAAGTTTATTTGAACCCTTGAGCATTTTATGGGGGTGTGGAAATGGACGTTGACATCTGATGGTCATTGGAAGTTCTGAGTAACAACTCAAGGGCAAGCCACAGTCTGGGCTGATGCTCACTTTTAGCTGCTCTCTGTTAAGAATGCAATAAACAGCAAATAGTTCATGTAGGTTCATGATACTTAAGACGGGGACACGCTTCATGAGAATGTTTTCATATTTTTGAGAGACATGAAAATGGGTGTCCCAGTTGACCACGGAACATCAACTTGCTTTATCCTGTGAGATTTTGGATCACTTATAAAGCTGAAGTGCAAACTAGCTCTCAACTTACTGCACTTGTGGGTGTTATATTATTACAATCTGAAAAGAAATTACAAAAAAGAATTTGATGAAGGCATGGATGCAAAATGGGATAAGAATGGCCGGCTGCTAAGCAAACAGGAAGTGATTAGGACTACTATGGGCTTGACTCTTATGCCTGGTTTTCACTGCGTTAAGGAGGTAAACGCTGCAGTGGGAAACGAAATTAAGACCCAGTACCTGGTACCAAAAGTGAGTCGCATTGAGTTGAGACGAGCCGTACCATGTAGAGGAAACCCGGCTTTATTGACGTGCTCTACCTTAATCTACCGGGCCTACCTGAGACTCTGACTGTATCAAGGGTTTCAAGATTGAAGCTCTTACAAACATCAATGTAAAACTTAAAGCCAGTTTTCTGTTCTTTTTTTATAAGCAGCACAGTTCTGTAACATATTGTAAATACTCAAATAAAGGCAGTAAAAAATAAAGGCTGTTTTTTTTTTACAGTAGTACTGCTCTCACTACTCAGTTCCACTAATTTTTACCTTGTTTTTTTTTTTTTGTCGGTGTTGAGATTCAATCAGAAAAACTCAATACTTTGTGTAGATGTTTACATTAAAAGCCGAACAAGATAGGGAAGAATTGTGTCCTTTGAGCCCCTAAAATGCTTTAAATGTGAAACATCTTTGTAGACATAATAATATACAGTAATAAATGAAGGAAAAATAAACACTATTTTAAGGATCATTGTGTACGATTTAGTGGCATCTAGTGGTGATGTTGCATATTGCAACCAATTGAATGCAGCTCGCCTTCCAAGCTTGCAGGAGAAACTTGGTTGGCAGCAAAATAAGTAAAAGGCCCCATTTACAGACGGTGCTTTATTTGTCCATTCTGACAGTTCAAAATGCCGGACTTTGTAGAAGAGGACCCACTCCCTCTATAGATAAAAACGTCTCATTCTAAGGTAACAAAAATTCTTATATTCAGGTGATTATACACCTATGAAAACATACCTATGAATATTACATTTCTGACAATAGAACCTCCTTAATATTTCACACTGGACCTTTAAAATGTATAGCCATTTCCAGCATATTGTAACCCTCAGGATGGTTGTCTACCAAAGTTTTACATGAATGTAAAATGCAACGTTGATTTGTTTCAGATTAGGAAGTTAAGTATAGATGAGATGAGGGTCTAAGTGTGGCTGGTATTAATGTTTTCTACTGATGCTTAAAACCACTTAAGGGTTTCATATCTACTTACTCAATTGACATCCTGGCCACAGATTCCAGGGAACTGTAGCCAGCTGCTGTGAAGTTGTCTCTGTATCGCTCCATCTTGATGGCTTCCAGCCACTCTCCCACTGAGCGGAAAGCGGTGAAGTCTGGTGTGCTCTGATCCAGCAGTGGACTAATTGGTCTGCGGGATGAGCACAGAAAGATGTTTATGTCTTATGTGAAAAGGAAGCGTTCTGCTGAAAACACAATCAAGCAGGAGATGAGACAAAGTGACGACCAAAGGCATCCAGTGGTGCAGCAAATTGCGAGAAGGGGGGGAAAAACTAGCTGATTGGAGGCTTCAATCAATAAGAAATTCACAAATAGATGCAGCATGTCAGCTTTCTGCTTCTGAAAAATATTTTTGTCAATATCTTTTCAATCTGAATACATTTACCCTGTACAGTCGACATACAATAAAGTGCTTTTTAACCAGTTGTAACCCCCGAGTCTCAATCTCACCTCGGGAAAGTAGTAAGTAGTAAGTTCTGACTGCAAATAGAATTCCTCTGACAAACGTCAGACTGAGGTCTGGAGTTCCCACTGCACTTTAAAGTACCAGGAACTCATTATAGAGATTGATTTAAAAGCCCTGCTACTGACCATAAAGCCATGGAAGCTGCTTTGGGGTATCGATCCCCCGGGATTTATCTTCCATCTCTGAACTACAGAGGCTAAATCATCCACTGGACACTTTGGATCATCCACTGTGTGCTAAAATAAAAGTTAGAATTCTTTATTGTATAAAGCCCACATTTAAAAATGAATTATTCTGGGTTTTTATTTCCTCACCTTGTACATGTTCCCACTGGGGTTTTCAAGGTGTTAGGGTTGCGGATCATCTTATCAAGGATGCCAACTATCTGATCAAATTTGGGACGTTCGGCTCTGTCTTTCTGCCAGCAGTCCAGCATTAGCTGATGCAGGCCTGGTGGACAGTCCATCGGGGCTGGAAGACGGTAGCCCTCCTCTATTGCCTTTATGACCTGGAGAATGCAAAACAGATGGACTCATTAGTGCCGGTATTTAGTATAATCCTAACCCCAAACCCTTTGGTATCAGCCCTTAGCATCAATCTAACCCTAATACCAACCCCTGACCCAAACTGTTTGGTGTCACCCTAACCCTACCCCCAACCCATGACTCTAACCCTTTAGTATCACCCTTTAGTATCAACTTTTAGTATCATCTTAACCCTAAGCCTTTCTGACAAAGTGAATAATTTACTGACTTCATACACATTTCATCCTTTAATCAACAAGTTTGTAAACAGAAGTGCAGCAGCTTAATCATTTGTTGGTTACCTACAGCAGGTGTTGTGTGTTGTGGAATCAAGTCCCAGTTTTTTTGTAGTAAATGTGAACATGAGGACTCCAAACAGAATGAAAGTAGCTACACTGATGAGTAATTGTGGAGCGACAGGGTTCTCATCATACCACATTACAATGCACCAATATGCCTCTCATATAGTAAGTATTTTTAACAGCTTCCTCTATTGAAATGAGGCTGCTGAGATCCTTCTACTGTATCTACCCCTGCTAGAGATGTTAATGATTTCCATTTCAAACTGTGAAGCCTGTCTGCAAAAAACACTGCCTGAAAGATACTGTTTTAAACAGGGCCACTTCACAGAGTTTGTTTTATGTCCAAGTCAATTTACTCGTCAAGGGGAGTTCTATTCAGCGTGTGGAAGCTGTTTTATAATGTCTTTGACTCTAGAGGACCTTTGTTGAGTCTGAAAAAAACATTGTGGTATCAGCCAGGTATTTCAGTTTGAGATCTTTGAGAATCTTGTGTTGGAAGTGTAGGATCCTGCAATTTTGGAACATGACCCACTCTAAGGACTAAGGACATTCTTCTTAAAGATCTGTCCCTCACAAGTTCTCCTAACTTTATGGAAGTTTAATACTGAATTGTAGGACAACCCATTTAAGAAAATTGGCCTGGTTTCTCACGTTGTTAATTATTTCTATGAGTTATGGAAACACTTCATTCTAAAGCTTTCTCTGATGAATTGAATCCAGGAGGGTCAGCACGAGTGGTCATAGTATAAAATGGGGATTTTAAACAAAACTTTAAGAAGAGAATGTAAATGGAACCAAAGTGACCACTACAGCAGTCAATTGCATAGGATAAACTGCATGCGCATAATTACCTATGCAAGATCTAGTTGATGATGGAGTACATAGGTAGCTCAACTCATTTTCACTTTCAAATAAATGGTTCGAAAATATGGTTGAATTTTTCGACAGGCTGACTTCTCTGTTGTAAATCTATGTCCATACATCAGTGTTGAAGTTGGTGAGCAAAATGTGATAGTTCATAGGTGATAATGGCCAAAACAAAGGATGTGATCCTGCAGCAAATAAATGAACTTTCATCTGATGGTCATGTTAAAAAGGTTGTGTATCTATTCAACTGAGGCACATTACCAAACAATCTCATTTACTGATCCTGAAAAGGTTATGCATGCTTTTATTTTGCCATTATTGTTGCCCTGCTCTCACTGGGCTCACTTGGAAAAAATCTCCTGCCTTCAGTTATTGCTAAATTTTGCAGCTAAGCTTTTAATCAAGTCTTTAAACGATGAACTCATACACCCATCCTTTTCTCTCTTTACTGGCTGACTTAAAGCTTTAGAATTGATTTCAAGATTTTACTGATAACCTTTAAGGCACTACAGGGTAAAGCTTCTGGTTACATTAGTATGTTATATACTACAGTGCAGACTAAGCTGTTTCCCTGAGATTAATTCCCCACATTGCTTATGTGTCTAAACAAAAAAGCTATATTTATACAGCTCTGATAAATAATTGAAAAGATCTTTCCGCAGAGCTGTTAAACCTGCAGTTTAGCGCAGAGTTCATTAAAAGTCAATGCCGTGAAAACAGTAGGTGCAGCGGGCACTTTGATTTGAGCCCCCAGCTCCCCTTCCTTTATTGTGTGGATAAGGTGCTTTGTACGAATCTGCATATGTTCATCAGCTATTCCTGTCAGGGCCGCTCGGACAAGAGTAAGTCATGGAGGGAAAAGGTGTCAAAACACTGAAATTGTTTGGGAAAAATGCTAATAATGCCCCAGAGGATGTTTGTTGACATCTTGACAAAGCGCAAAAATTTCTGACATTGATGTCTGTCAAGTAGCAGAGCGTCAAAACACCACACACAGCACTTTAATGCCTGGTCATCTTGTTTAGCATTTCTAACATCTGATTGTTCAATCAGCAGGCCTCTCCTTTGGAGCGGCAGAGAATCTTAATCATGTTTAGCCCTGATGCTGTGGGTGCTAGAAGCCGGGCGCCATATAGGAATTGTGAGGCCAGAACTCACTTGCCTTCTGCCATCAATCAAAATGTGTCAAGTGTCCAACAATAAAGAACAGCTTGAAGTGGTCTGGTGCAGTTGGACTCCCTTGGTGAGAGTTGGCAGGAAAGTAGGCAACAGCACTCAGAACTGCAGGTGAGTCAATCATTATAGCAATTTGTGACATTTGTAAAAAGAGGTGTGGGTAAATGTGTTCTTTGAGGAAGAAAAGTGTGGGCAATGTCAGGAGTCAGCTTTACAATTTACTTGATGGTAAGGTAGAAGATAATAATCTTGATTTTTGAATCACAGTTTCTTAAATAAAAATTAGTTTTATCCTCCTGCACCTTAAAGATACTTTATATGATTTAATTAGAGTGCCTAATAGAACATCCACATTTCCCTTCCAGCTCCAGTATATTGAGCAATCAGGTGGGAGAAAGTTCTGGGACTGTGACGGTTTATGCTGTGTGTATTTTTACTTTTCAGAAGGTAAAATATCTTGCTTTGACTGCATTGTGCTTGACTGAGGTTTGACTTTATTTCATTTATACTGATTCCTCCTGTTTAATTCATTATTATTGTATTACTTTATTTACAGCTACAAGCTGATGTTAACTCGTGGTTAGGTTTTGTACATGCTGCTATACTTATTAGAAAACTATTTATAGTATTGAGCTTCAGATCAGTGTTTTTGATCATCTACAAATATGGATATTGACTCATTTTACTCCTAAAAAGTACAGTATCTGTACCGGATTTTCATTTCAGCCAAAATTAGTGATGTGCCCCTTTAAAATTAGAGTGCATCTATGGCTTTAATATCCTTGACTTTTTTGTCTACAACAAAACAAACTGCAAAAAATGCAGGAGTTGCTTGCTGTGTAATTGGTTCAACGCTGCTACTCCCAACGGTTCACATTACCATAAGTCATTATAAACTTTTTAAAGGCATTTGAATCTAAAGTATTCTGCATGACTGAAGTGTTTTCCACTCCTGTTATTTATATTAATGCCAACATCAAATCCAAGTTCTCAGTTCATTTTTATGCATGTTCCATTTTATGACATTCAAATTGATTCAAATTGCAGGATTATAGCAAGACTTTTTGAACTAATTTAGCTCAAGGTTGCGATCATGAGGGTCCTGCAAGAAAGCCTTAAAACAAACTGAGATTTTTCTGTCATTTTCTATGTTTTAGTGGGAGTGAGATGAATCTGAGGAAAATCTCATGATTCATGCCCTTTTAGATGGTACTTAATAAGATCAGATTGGACGTAATGCATAACCTCCACTGAACTAACAGTCTTTAATACTAGCTTGCTATTTGTGAGCAATAAATGATTTATGGTTTCATCAGAAACATGTCATTAAATAGAAAAAATCCCCATTACAACTTATCAGAGCCCAAGGCGATGTTTTGTTCGAGCAGCAGTCCAAACCCAAGGATGCCAAAGATACTGAATCGACAATGATATCCTTTCATCCAGCAAGCTGGAACCACTGAATGTTTGGAATTTTTGCTCAATAGCTGAACTCAACGATTACTCATTTACCAAAATTGTTGGTGATCCATTTTCTGTTGATAGACTTTTTGATTCAGCAATAATACTGAAGATTTTTGTCAAATGTATTGTAGCTAATAACATGGTTTTAGGTGAAAATTTGTGTCAAGATAGCAAATACTGAAGTGAAGATGTCAAGTCTTTATCTTAATCCTAACTTTACCTCCAACCCTAACCCTACCTTTAACAACAAATGTACTTTCTGTTTGACAAGAGTTCCTAAATCACTCACAAAGATCTGGAATGAGAATTTGCACATGAATAATTTCTTATTAATGATTATGATCTCAGGTTGTTGCATGGTTCATCAGCAGAATGACAAATTCATTGTGTTAGTGATTTAATATCCACTCACGTCTTGGTTGGACATGTCCCAGTAAGGCCGTTCCCCATAGGACATGACCTCCCACATGACAATGCCATAACTCCACACGTCACTTGCAGAGGTGAATTTACGATACTGTATGGCTTCTGGCGCGGTCCATCGGACAGGTATTTTGCCACCCTGTTCAGTAAAATACAGGTCAGTGGCTGGAGTAAAGATCAAATTCATTATATCCTGCATCTTCCCCTAAAACATCAATTAGACATTGGTTAGTTTTACAATCACACAAAGGTTCAAAACAAAAAATAACAAACTTTCCCACAATATTTTGTGTTGTTCCTCTAAAACTAGACTTTATGGATTATTAGAAATAAACATTTTATGTGAAGCTTCATTAGAAGTGCACTGAAATTTTTTCTTGAAATACCTTCCTTGATATTTTATTTCATATTTCTTATTAATCTAATCATCATTTACTTATAAATATAATGAAAAAAGGAGTAATTTTGCTTCTTTTGTTGAACCAACTTTAAAAATTTTAAAAGATATAAAACAAGAAAATAATTAAATTCTCTCATTTGAGAAGCCATTTGGCCATTGGCCTTTTTGCCTGAAAAATGCTCTATGATCAATTTATTATGAAAATAGTGTTGATTTTTTTGGCCATTGACAAATCATTCAACTGAAATTATTGAAACTTAAACTGAAATGTTGCATTTATAATAAACTGGAATCAACCTTTTATATATGGTAACAGTACACAACAGTATAAGTAAATTATGAACTAACCATAAAAAGGCATTAGTTACAGCTTATAAAGCCTTTATAGGAAGTTTTGCTGAAATACAGCTTATTTTGCATATTAAACACAGTGCTACTTGGGCACACTTCTGTTCTATTTTCATGCACCGGCTTACTTGATTAGAGAATTCAGACAGGGCTCTGGGTAGAAAGAGCAAGTGCTTTAATTGACTCACAGTTGTTGTGTAGACAGCCTCGGGATCGTCGTCTATCACCCTTGACAGGCCGAAGTCCGACACTTTACATACGAGGTTGCTGTTGACGAGGATGTTTCGTGCAGCCAGATCTCGATGGACGTATCCCATATCAGAGAGGTATCTCATCCCTGCCGCTATGCCCCGCAGCATCCCCACCAACTGGATGACTGTGAACTGACCGTCGTGTTTCTGCGTGGCACAGAGAGACACAGGCGGGGTCAGCCATCTTTGCTGACCATGAGGGAAATGTAGGTCACAGCACTGCAGCAGCTCTCCAGCACAAGATTTATGATATTTATGTGATGCACAGATCCTACTGCAGACTGCCTGCTGTCTGGGACACTTTCCAGCCAGTGCAAAAGAAAAGTTACGAAAAAAGATGCTGTTTGAGCCTCCGAAGGTGATACTCACCCTGAGGAAAGCATCTAATGAGCCGTTCTCCATGTACTCGATGACAATCATCACTGGTTTTCCTGGAGAAAAAAAAGAAAAGAAAAGGATGGACAAGAAAAGAAGATGATTAATTGATACCTGAATTTTGTTTGCTTGCATAATGCTTCACAATAAACAACCACGCCGAAACGGCTTCCAAATTATTTTTAGCTGCGTGTTTCATTGGCTTTTAATTAAAAGTTACCATCTGCTCCTTTTATTACAGTGTCTAAATGAGAAAATGTTAAACAGGGAGTGTGGCTAATTTAATCAGATATAATGTCACTCTGACTATGGTGCTTTTACCTCCCAAAGCTAAATATTCTCTGATGAAACAGGATTTCTAAACTCTTTCATGGCTTTTACAGCTTATTTTTTAAAGTGTGATTACCTCTTGTGACAACTCCCTCCAGATGGACGACGTTGGGGTGGTCAAACTGCCCCATAATGCTGGCCTCGCACAGGAAGTCCCGCCTCTGCTTCTCCGTGTAGCCCACTTTTAAAGTCTTGATTGCGACCGACACATCCCGCTTCCCGGGCAGCTTGAGCCGACCGCTGCACACCTCCCCGAACTCTCCTGTGCAGTGATGGAAGCATTCATTAATGAGTTGTGGGTGGGTAAAAAGAAAAAAAAAAAAAAAGTGCTTCACAATGACAAATTTATTAGTGTATTTTGAGACAAAGCAGCTGTGCAGTGGTGGAATACAAATTGGAGTGCGACATCTTGTTATACTCGGGGGAGTGTAACAGAGACCTATAATAAGACATGCTAGAGATGCATAGATACTGTCATTGACCGCCTCTGTAAAACCCATGTGGCAGCAATTTTTCAGCTGTGGGAATCTCTGCGACTGCTCCTAGCAGACGCAGCCCACACATTAATTGCAATGAACTTTTTCCCCTCTTTGCAATTGCACTATCAATATACAATGCATAAAGCTGTGTCCCTATTCAAGGTGTAAATATTTGGCTGTCAGTGTGATATATGAGAGCACAGGAGTAGCTAAACAGCAAGAGCTAAGACACAAGAGGATGGGCTCACCTGCTCCAATAACCCGCTCAATTTTAATGCAGGAGGCATCCAGCTCCTTGGCAAATTGATGGACAGCCCTGTTTGGGTCCTCATAGGTTTCAGGGTCAATGTAGGTTTTGGTGCCTGGAAATTTGACTGTAGAAAGGTAAGAGGATTACTGTTACGATTAAATATGCACACTGCGCACCAGCGGGCGCTTGACAGGCAAACGATTACTAAGACCAGTGATTCAGAGGGAATTGCTGAACAGTCAGCGGCCGGTGTCAAAAGGGTTTTCACACAGGAAAAAAACCCTCACAAAATGGGAAGCAAAGATTTGAGTAACCCACGCGTGGCGCTTTTATGAGGCAGTCGGTCACCTTTCACCTCCCCACAGCTGAGACTGCCTCACTGAAGAATAATCTGTCTCTGATGGTTCACACGCTTATCACCCTTAGTAGCTTTATGACACATGGTATTCTAGGGATGATACAGGGGTTGTTCCCCTAAATTAAAATAATATATATCCAACAGCAAGTAGACATTTTGTATGGAACCAAAGAAAGCTGTAACAATTGGAATTTTACAAGCAGCTGAAAACATAAATGTGAAATGTCTAACCACTCAGTGCCCCTTAAAAGTTCTTCATAAATCAGTTTTTCTTCTTGTTCCTACAGTGTGATGTTTGATCTTCACTGTGCATAATAGAGTTTGACACTAGTTAAAGGGCGGGGCCTTCAAGCATGATTTGTGACATTACAAATAATTTGGAAGTCAATCCTGGTCCTGGATGCAACTTACACAAGTGTGATGTGGAAATCTTAATTACTTAAAATATTTGAATTTGAAAACCATCTGTCTGAAATTATGTTGTATACATTCCTCTCTTTGAAACTTCCAGAAGGTAATCCTTGTCTTTGCATCAAGAATTTCATAAATGATTACAGTTAGGTATGTAGCTGCTCATAAGGTTCAAATTCTTAAGGAATTTTTTTTTCATCTACTCCTGTCTGGTTTGCCCTGCGTGTTGCCTCTCAGGCTGTTAAGTTGCCATCCCATGACCCCAAACCTAAACCGACATATATGTTAATGTTTCCCAAACGTTCCTCCCTATAGTTGTAATTAAAACCATTAGGTATTCAGTTGTTGGTACACTATGAACGTTTTCCAGAACATAAGTTTTACGATATCAATGTGTAATATTCTTTGAAAATTAAGCTAAAATTTAACTTCAGTCAAAGATAAGATAGAAAAGGACCGATACAAAACATTTTCTATCAAGTGAGGTTTTGTGGAGAAAGTGGTGCAATAATTCTCTTTTTCAGAGTAATTCCTTGGGCGAGACGTTTGGGATTTTCTTAAAAATAAAGTATGCAGTTTAAAATAATACTGATATGGGAAGGAGTTTATGAATATCCATGAAGTGAGAGTGGAAGCAGTTTGGAGAAAATAAGAAAAACAAACAAGGTTAGAGAAAGGCCAGAGATGGGGTAGGGGGTTACCATTTTGCCCAGTCCTCCAAATTAACAGCAAATTACAATATTATGCACCATTAAGGGAACAGTCCACTCATGGGGCTGATTACACTATGCATTTTAAATTCCACTGATAACAATATAACCTGTCAACTTTAAAATTTGATGAGATAGCACAGCCATAATACACTGGATAAACGCTGGACCAGAACAACACAATGGGACTGCGAGCTCAACCAGCCAGAGAGACTCTTGTTCTCTGCGTGGAGGAAAAGCACTGCGGCCAATCCAGCAGCGTAAATACAACAAATACATTGTGCTCCAGCGAGGGGACGCCAGCAGCTGAGATTTCCCTCAACTTGCTCCCATAATTGCTTTGTCCATCCGAGATGTCAGTGGATCTGATAGGAGATGTCTTATCGCAACTTCCTCGTCGTTACATGGCAGACAAATTGGGTCTACATGTCGAATTCACGTGCTATCTAGCTTCTGTCGCCCTGGCAGCCTCTCGTCATTTGATATTGCACGGCGGATCCTCTATATTATGCCCGACACTAGCCTTGTTTGTGTTTTCTCCCAGTTTTTTTCCTTCCTTCAGCAGTTGGGACCAGTGAGCTGCTGAGGCGGATCTGTCAGGCACTTAGCAGTAGCCAACCTGGGCTCACCGGCACTGCCTCTGCTTCAGTCCTACACTTTGTGACACCACTGACCCTTTGTTTCCAATCAGCAGTTTGCCTACAGCGCAGATCATTACGGCTCCACTTGGAGAAAGCTGTCTGCAGCTGTATCTCCAGGGGCATCATTAGGGGTAGTGTATCAGTGTTAAAAAAACAACAACCCTCTTACTGATAGAAGTCGCCTAGAAGCAGCCCTGACGACGAAGCTAACTGTGTGTACACTGTCGCTCTCTGAGTTGCGGCTTTTACAGTTGTTTTTCCTCCTTCCTCACGGGTCAGCCTCTCTTCCCTCCCTGACAGCTGTCACATTCATGCGTTTGTAGCTCCCTAACTTCTTCATCTCCGCAGACTGGCCAATCAGCAGCAGATGTTAGCCCGATTGTTCCCAGCTTTGACTAAAAGCAAACGAACTGGGATCAAACAGTCACGCCTGTGGGTGCTAATGGGTTTTAAGGCACCCTTCCTGTTCAGTATGCAGTGTCTGAGATGTCTCTATCTGCGTGTGTGTGTACATATATTCTATATGTGTGTGCGTTTGGGCTGATGAATGCAGGCACTCACACTGGAAGTAGAGCTCCTCGTCTCCCTCCTGATCGGCTTTGCTGTACCCGCAGTGCCTGCACGGGGGGGGGAAGAGAGTGGTAGAATCAACTGATTGTGCGGAGGAAATAAAACTCCCTAAATTACAAGAATTTTAATGCGGCGACCAATGCCGCGCATGACAAATCTCTTAAGGAACCCAGCTGAGCAGCGGGAGCTGTGAACCCCCACAGCCTGTACAGCCTGGGAAAGTAGCTCCAGCATCTAATCATGTAACATATCAAATAATACATGCACTGTAAAGGACTGTTCAACATGTCTAGAGATATTAATTTGTAATATTAACGTGTTGAAGGTTCCCTCAAGCAGGTGATTTGCTGCACAAAGTTGGTCTTTGAGCGCAGACTGAAAAAAGGGGATGACGGAGGTGAAATAAGCCCCAAGTGATGGACATGCACTTAGTGGATTAAAGTACACACGTGTGTAGCGTGTCTCCACTAAACTCTTAAAACACTCCCTTTATTTACAGGCAAAAGGCATTGTCACTACGTTTTAGCTAGATATGGCACATTTTTGCCATCACTAGTTGTTTTGGGCTCAGGGAAGAGCTAGTAAATAGACCTTGAGTTAACATTAGAGCAGCAACTATTATTTTCATTTCTTGATTGATTGATTAGTCGTTTGGTCCACAGAGTTGATCAAAGTTTCCAAAAGCCAGAGCTACGGTCCTCAAATGTCTTGTTTTGTCCAGAAACCAAATATTTTTCTGTCTTAAAGGAAAATATTCACATTTGAGAAGTTAAAATCAGAGAATTTTAATATTTCTTCTCTAAAAATGACTCAAAGCGATTAATCGGCTATCAAAATAGTTGCTGATTCATTTAACAGTTGACAACTAATTGTTGCAGCTCTTAACATTTTATGTTTGAGAGATTAAGAATGATCTTTCAATTTTAAAAAATTCATCACAATTTGAAAGTATTTGCATTTTTTGTCCTCACATTTCTAATACATTATGGCTCTCTCTATACAATTTGATAGAGTGTCAGTGTTTTAGAGACTGTGTTGAGCAGGTGAAATTCGGGATCATGGCTTCCTTAAGAAAGGTCCTGATTGTGTAGAACAAAAGCCAATTTTCATAGTTTTCATCACTGGTGTGGTTTTCTGTTTCTCATCGAGTAGGAGAGCGGGAGTCGGCCATGGTTCCCGAAGTAAAGGTCCCATTCATTTTCTGCATGGACAATGTTAGGAGACTGACAGTTGGAGTACTAGAAGGCTTGGAGGTGCGCTAAACTCCCAACATAAAATCATCAGTGTTAGATTTAGCAGGAGACTCTTGTGTTTCAATGTTGAGGGACACAGAATTGGGATGGATGTGGTTTGAGCTCTTTTTGCATCACTTGGATTATGCAAAGAGGGAGTGTAATGACACCACACAGTCAGTGAGTTAATTGTGGGCTAAGCTTGAGCCCAGATTTTGTAGCCTAAAGTTTGGGTTGACATCGCTATCACTGGAAAATTAAAGTCACACTGATAAAGGATGTGTATGATGCCTGTACGTTCTGGTTTGATTCAGTTATAGCTCAGAGAAGAAGTTTTTTCTGCAAAATGGCACCAAGGAACGCTTCTTCTGATGAACCCTCCATTGAAAGCAAGCTCTGATAAAATGCCAGTCGTGCAGATGAGAACATAGATGAAGTGTGTGAGGGAATGGTGATAATGACAACGGGCAGGGTGCTTTGTGATGGTGGAAAAAAAAATGCGCCATACTTCATCCTGCCCTGAGGATCTCACACACACAGGAATGCAGAGCCAAAGCTTTCTCGCTCTGGGGTACTTGTCTCATAATGGCTCTGCAAAAATAGCTTAAAATTTTTGTTGGGGGCTGAGGGAGAAAAAAAAAAAAAAAGATGCATCACAACCCATTAGCACAGCATGCCACGAGATGATGGGTGCACGTGTGTGTGCGTGTGACGACTCCACAAACGCGGAGGCCTGTGAGTGACAGAAAGGCTAATTGACAAGCGCAGACTCACAGGAGCGGAGAGTCAATGGGGCCCGCGAGAGCGTACCTTCTCCCGATGATGAAGCCAAACACCATGAACACCAGGATGATGGTCCCCGCCACGGCCACCACCGCGATGATGATGACGGGGTTCTGCTCGCTGGAGACAATCGCAGCTGATGAGATGGACACAAACACAGACGGACATTCAGAAAGACAGAAAACGCTCAGTGTGAACATCAAAGGCTACAATCTGCAGGACATAATTGAGCCCAATGAGAGGCGTGGAGATTGATAACCCCCCTCCTTCCCTCGGAGAGAGTGGAGGAGGGGCGCTTCTATTTTTGAGCCGTCCTTATACACACGGCTCTACTGTTTCAGAAAGTGGGCTTAATAGTCCCAGACGGCGACGGCGATGCCCTTCATCTCAAACAAAGACACATTCAGGTTGGATTGTTTCCCATTCAGAGCTCTCGCAGCGCTCAAACTGTTTGCGTTGACAAACTGCCGATTGCTCCAAAGAACGGCTTGCCATAGCGTCGCATAAAGTCAACGCGAGTGGTGTATGAAGGGAGAAACTTCATGCATTTTAAATCAAGTGGATCTGCGCTGTATAAATAAAAGAGAATGATTTTTTTTTGTGGCCTGTCTGAGGAGGAGGAGAGGGCTGAAAAATGTGGCGACATTTAATCAGCTGTTACTTAATCAAGCTTCAATATCTCACCAATTGTCTATTTTGGGAGGAATTAGGAGCACTCAGCAGTCATACTACACTCTTGCAGGTTTCCCCCCTCTCGAGGCCGTCACGGAGGACGCTAGCGGTTGCTGGTCAAGGACATTTTGACTGGACTGCAAACTTCTAACCTTGTCACAGGACACGCTCTGCATGCGGTATGAGTAATTAATGTATCCTTTTGTGCAGAGATGTTGGACGTAAAGTGGGTGGGGGCGTGTTTGGGTAGGAAGGTTGGATGTTGGGGCTCCAAACTAAAGAGAAATGAATGAAACTGGCTAAAACATACCAGGTAGAACGTTCATACTCACTAATTAACACTGTTTAACCCGTGCATGACAAGCTTAAAAACAAAAATTTGTGGTTTAGTTACATGCTGGAACACTGACTGTGTGTACACACTAAATGGTTTATCATTGTTATTATTATTATTATTATTATTATTATTATTATTATTATTATATCTTAATCTTTATTCATTCAGGCACTCTCATTGAGATTATGAGCTCCTTTCCAGGAGAGACCTAAGAACAATAGACATACACAATCGCACAATAGACAAATAATTAATAAAAACAAACTCACAGTAAACATCAGACAGTAAGGATTTAAAGTCTCCAATGGGAATGCTACACTCAAGCTTAAGGGTAGTTTACAGTTCATTCCATTTAAAAGGTGTTTACTGCAGGTGTTTACTCTATAGTGATCAGTAAATTGAGATTTTAGACACTTATAAATCCTAATCTCTTAGCGAGAAGGGAATTTTTGAGGGCGCTAAAAACTACATTAAATTCACATTCTGACAGTTAAATAAAATGATAAATATAGAGCATTATGTAATTTCAGACTATCTTGGTTTCACAGTGAGGTTGCCAGGTTTGGTACCATTGTGCCTATACCATGAAAATAAAAGCTTATTGTATGATGTATATAAGGGAAATTAAATTGTCTTGGTTATTGTCAGGGAGGGAGAAACAGGAGCAAAAACTGTTTTTATGTCATCTGTCTCTTCATTAACAATGAGCACACGTTTGACCTTTGCTTTTTTTTTGCACCAGGTCCAACATATTTTTAAAATAGAATTGTTGTAATTTTAATTGTACTAATTTAAAATTTAAGTTATTAAAATAATAATCTTGTAGGACGGATATGACTATATTTTTGACATCATGTGGTGCGACCCCCCATGTATATGCTTGTCTACAGTATTGAATTCTACCTTATTAGAGTTATTTAAAAAATATAGAACAAAGTGTTTCTCAAAAACAAAAAACAACCTTTCTGTTTTAATTCCTTTAAGGGTCATTGTAATTGATGATGATAATAATAATAATTATAAGCGTGATATTTTCTGAGACAATTATCGTACTGTGAAAATCTCATTCCGTTGCAAACCTGTACAGCGACCAAAACCAAAGCCTATGCTAAAAAAAACCAAATCTGGCAACAAGTGTTATAAACTGCTGTTTAAGAACACAAAGTAACACTCCCTAAAACCACAACAGATCTTTTCACATTTCGGTTTGATTTGGTTTATTTATATTAATCTCCTTTAGAGGTGTTGCTATGCCTATTTTTTTCACTGTGGACAGAGGCAGGCTAGCTGTTTCCTCCGGCTTCAAGTCTTTATGCTAAGCTAGGTTAACCACAACACTAACTGTTGCCCAACCCCACATGTATCCGTGTTTACAATATCTATATGCTCAACATTACGATCCATAACACAAGCACTTCACGGGAGCATACCTCACCTCAGAATGAGCACAGTGTGACACTCAGAGCTAATGTAACTGATTAGATTTAAATGAGTTTATCCTCACGACGCTACAGTAGCTTGTCCTTGTGCTTAGTGATTCTTCCCACGACATGTTGTCAGCATAAAGTCAAAGCAATTTCTGTTTGCTTTGCTTGAAAGCAAATAATTTCCCTGGGCTATTACTACAGAAGCTGGGAACATGAACAGGTTGTGCATAAATTTTGAAGTTTGAAAGCCTGTGTTCCAGAACGATGTGCTAATACATCGCCATGGTCAAACTCTCCCTGTGTTAGGTCATAGTGTCGGTGCATTTGGAGGGACACTAATGCTCTCTGTGGGCTTTTCATTGGAAGAGGTGAAACGCTGTCAAATTAAAAGCATAACTTTGTGGCAATGCTAATGCTGCAGTGGCTAACACAGGTACGTCTCTCACTAATTCATCATTGCTTTTATACTTTTGTTGTGGCCTGTTGGACCAAACCTCCTACATTATTTCACTCTTACTTTCATACGGATTTCGCTTAAATATGACTTTTCCCCCCACAAGATTAGGATCTTATATGCAAAATGAACTGATTACACAACATTAGAGCTGTAATGCAAAAGCTAATACAGGAAGCTTGTAGAAATTGTCCATTCCTCTTCATTTATACTCTATGCTCCACTTTATATGTATATGTTTAGCTGTTTACAAAACATTTTACTTATGTGTTAATGTTTAAACCATGTACCTAAATTAATCAAAAAATAAAGCATGGATTGTTTTTGAAATAAAAGTATCTAAACTTGGCTAATTTAAGGATGTAGAATTGTTCATGTTTTGTGTGGGAAGTAGTAGAATGGAAATAAAATGGGACGTTTTGAAGGAGCAGTGAGTAGGATTCAGCGACATCTAGCGGGTAAGTTGCAAACTGCAATCAACTGAACAACGCTCGTCTGGACCTTTAAAAACTGTTGAAATAATGTTACAACAATCAACAATAATGTTGAAAATAAAGATTTTGTCATTAAATTACTGAATCTGAAAAGCTTTCTTTTTCCATGCTTTTGAGACAGTCCATAACCTTCAACTCATCATTTGACCTGTAAAATGTTTAAGGTGCCAAGCTTTAATACCTGATCATGGGGTAAAAATAACACATGTAACATCAGTTTTATTCAGCACTGTACAACAAATCTAGTGAAAACTGATGGATGTTAATTGAGGATAAACCACAACAAACAGTTGTTGCAATGGTAAGCAGTATAATATCCTACCTGTGGCCTCCTCCTTGGTGGTTATCTCTAATCTGGGCCCATAGGTGCCGTACCCTGCCTCTGTGAAGGCCCTGATCTGGAACACGTAGGCAGTGCTGGGCTTCAGGTTGTTCACTGTGGCTGATGTGGACTTGGACCTCACCGTGGAGTAGATTCGGTCCTTCTGATCCTGTACAAGGAATAAATAATCTTTTATACAAAAACTGACATTTTCACCATTTGGGATTAAAAAAAGAACATCCAACTGCTGTGTGAACGTCTGGTTTATAACTGAGTCCCATTGAAGTGCTGTTATCTTACTGCAGATATAATTCAGAGGAAGTAATTACCTGTCTTTTGTGAATGGAATGAACATGATTTAACAATGTTTCATCCAACTAGACGGACATTGTGTCAATTTAAGATGAAACCATTCAAATTTAGTAGTCATTTTAATATTCAGTATATATATCATAAATTATAAAATAGTTTATAGCTTATTAAAACTTTATTTACCTCAGCTGCAGAGAGAACCAGACCAATGTTGCCTCTTTAGTACACATTTTCCTATTTGAATAAAACATCTCTGTCACTTCCTCCATGTTTACCTGTTCTTGTTCTTCTTCCTTGTTCTTGATTAATTCAGAACGAAGTGCACTAATTCCATCAGTACAACAAACACGTCATACTCACCACTCTGCTGCTCTGAATCGGTTTTCTATTCCCAATTTAATTCCAATCGCTTTTTCTTTTCTATCTTTTAATCGCTCCTAAGCTACCTTCCTGCACAGATGTTTCACATTAAAAGCCTTTCAGTGGTCCATAGGGTAAAATCCCACCTTTTCATGGGAGACTACTAAGCGGACCCGTCAATTGAGTGTTTTTGACCAAATTTCGACTGCAAAAGAAAATGCAAATCAACGCTTTAGGGCCGCCCCCTAATAGTCGTCTTAACTGTAAGCTGATGCAACTTTCGTTAGTTTTATAGTCACAGAAAAACAATGTCAAACTCTAATCAGCAGCTGTGCAGGGCCAGAATGTAAGACAGAACCTGCAAGACCACTGGGGGCCAGCTGATTTCCAGTGGCTCCGACCAGGACTCTGACTCTGGGGTAAAGACATGGGGGGTTCAGACTAGTCGACTATTGGCTTTACTACTAGTTGACAAGGAAAATCTTTAGTCGGTGGCAGCCCTAGAATCCTTGTTTCCAACTACTACTGTTATGCTATTATTCTGTAAGTAAAGCAGTTGGTGGCGCAACAAGATGATGTAATGGAAACAGTGGTAGTGAAAACTCAGACTGTAAAAAACAATGCAGAAAACAGGATCTCTGTTTGGTTTATTAATGTGAGGAAGGTTCCATCAGATCTGTGTGTAGAGATCATGGAAAAAGGCAAAAACCACCTCAAGCGAGCGTAAAAACAGTGTTTGTTTATTATTTTGCCTTTTCCATCAACCTTTCCCTAATGCAATACTTCAAATTGTGCATCAAAATACGGTGATGGAAACACTGACACTGATAGTAACTTAACAGCAGTTTTTAAAAAAAGCAAAGTTGAAGCAAATGGAACTGATTGGTCAGTATTTATTTTTTATTTCTGTTAAAAATACACAACTCCGCTGTTGTGAAAGTGTAGATTATGCTCAAAGTACCATACAGTATAAATTCCAGTACAGCAAATTCCTCCCCCTTCAGTGTTCTTTAGCATGCAACCTTTATTTGAATTCTGACTTTTGAGAATTTACGCTATTAAGGAATGCAAATCAATTTTGCTAAACATCTCTCTAATTATGCTTTATACTGATTGTACATTACAGAACATCTAATTTAACTAAAGTTATTATCTCACCATTAGGCAGCCTGCCACATAGACAACATAAACATATGAAAATATCTTCTCCATCAAGGAATCCATTTGGATGCACAGGCTGCACGCATTGTGTACTTTGTTGTTGATCTGTAAATGTTTTGCTCGGCAAAAGCCCAAATGGAATGCCAGGGTCTGTTAGAAGTGTAGTTGTTGTTTCCAATTTTCCACTTTTACAGCTGGGCAGACCACAGCCACAGTACGTGACATAGGAGACTGATTTGTCAGTGCTTTGCGAGAGGCTGCGACCAGCCAGGACTGGCATCAGAGCTCCGCTCCCCTGCCTTTGATTTGCTGGGTTAAATTCGCTCCATTAAACCTCGCTGTAAAAAGCTGATGTGTTCAGACTTGAAACACAGGGAAGCAGCACTATAATCTATGTGGAAGGGGAAAGGAGATAACAGTAACAGATTGCTAATTCTGGCAGTGCCGCAGCCATGGGTTGTGTGTGTGCTAACGTGCGCGGGGGTGGCTGTGAAGGACTACAGCCTGATTAAAATCTTATGAGCATCTCATTCATTATTGCAATTATGAGACAAAGACGGTACTTGCAGAATCTTGTGAATTCCACTCACAGCAGCACGCAGATAGAATGCAAAATGAAGAGTCGACAAAAGTGAATGTGATGCAAGAGATGGAGAGGAAAAGGCAGTAGGAAGAGACAAACAAATCGACTACAAACTCACTTTTTCGTAGTATTTGATCTCGTATTCTGTGATGACGCCATTGGGTTGGTGGGGCTCCTGCCAGGAGAGCTGGATGCTGCGCTGCTGCACTTTCTCCTTGATGACTTCGCTGACCTGGGACGGAGCTGTTTGGACAAGAACATGTCAATAAGAGGAGGGCAAACTCACTGTGCACGTACATGCATACGGCCAAGCCGCTAATCAGCCACACCGAGCCCTCCACCAACACTCAGCGGCCCCCGCTGGCCTGACGAATATTCACAGGGACGCTTCTAAATGTTTACACCTCATGATCGAAATTTCAATTGTGCCAACAGCAAAAGATGGCGGGTGCAAAACGGCAACATGTAGATTATGAATGACAATTCAGTTCAATTAATTCCAGCGGAACAAGCAGGCACTTGCTCTCCCTGATGACAGAGCTATTCAGAAAGCCTCTTAGTGGGAGGGGGGGTGTACCTGTAACCTTCTGACACCAGTCTTATGCACACCAATTATCTCTGGCTCTTTGCATGACTCATTTTAAGTGTCTCGCTGCCTGGATTAAGTGCTACCACATTTAGATTTGCTAAACAGTGCACACACACACAGACATATTTTCAGCTGTCAATACCCAAAGGTAAACGATGGTACTGAACTTAACAACCCTGTATAGATGGAGCTTAAGCATACATTGGTGCCATGTAATGTCTACTACTGTTATTACTGCTACCGCTGATGTAGCACCAATTACTGCTACTGTTCCTGTACTGCACTGATTTAGCTACCAATAATCCTACTGCTGCTGCTAATATTACTACAACTACTGCTAGTGTTGCTTTGACTGCTCCTGTAACTGCTGCTACTATTACGATTACAGGCAAATCAAAGAAGAATGCTACACAGAACCTTCTATCAAATGTAATTTAGGGAAAAGACAAAGGTTCTTGTGTCCACAGTTAAAGCTGCATCAATTAACTGGTAAAGACAGCATTAATGTATTTTCACCTCATTATGTTAACATGGAAAGAAAGCAGTTGGCTGTTTATACTTCTTCCTGACACATTAGCGTTCATTAAGATTAAGAGATTAAGATTAAGAGGTGTCTGCCCACCTGACCAATATTCATCCAGCTTTTTGTTTTGTACTTGTCGCCAACTAACTCATGAGATCTTGCTCTTTGATGCTACAAGCTCCCCTGTTGTTTACCAGGAAGTTGCTAACTTTGTCAAATGTTTGTGGCTGGGAAAGTAGCAGGGGGTTTGCTGAAAACAGCCGCCTGCTTTTGCTAGAGATGCAGTTTATGAAGTTGGAACCAAAATGGGAAAGCTGTGGGCCCTGCTAAAAATAATGGGCTGATAGATGCTAAAATGCTACATAAGCTGGAAGGAACTGCAGAATTTCAGATAAGTCCCGCCCCTTTTGGAGCCTCTGCCACTTTCTCCTTTCCCGTATTTAGTTAGGCTCGTCTATGTTGCCAAGACAATCCCATTTTAAGCATGGTTGAAACACCAAAGGTGTGTGTCTGTGTGTGTGTGTGTGTGTGTGTAGCTTAGCTAATGTTTCTGACTTACGGAGTAAATGACTTGATAAGTTGAAGTACTGCTACTAGTTCTGCAGCTCTGCCTTCCACTTCTGTACAGCTGCCATTACCTTTACACCATCATCACCATCTTTATTATAATTACCATTATTTTAACAGCACTAGTGAGAAAGAAAAGAGGGCAACCTTTATGGTTTACTAAACCTCACCGCAAGGAGATGATGCTTTTAAAAAAATATGCTTACTGCAAATCTAAAACTCTAAACAGCCCAAAGATCCTTTCTGTAAACATACTGTGAAATCTTGATGACTCATGTTGCGCTTGGGGGCAAAACATATTAATTAACAAGTCTTAGCAAGTTTGAAAAGCCATCCTGGGGAACGACGTGAACAGCGAGGTAAAAGCCACTTGTCAGAAGCCATACTTTGATTTCTGTTTTCTGGGCCTTTCATGGATCAGAGAGCTTGTGAAAGACAGTTTACACCAAAGGAGTGTGATCGTCTCCTTTTGAGCAATTTACAAATGATGAACAGAACAATAAGCTTACATTTCTCTATTGACGCACCATTTGGAAGTGTATTATAGGGGCGGCTGTGGCTCAGAGGCAGAGTGGGTCGTCCCCCAATCAGAAG